AGAGGTGTCAGGCACAGACAGGGTAAAAAATAGGGGGAAGTGATCTGACCACAGTTTAGAGCCAATGTGGGATTGTGGGCGCCAGCTTAGTAGGGAATGTGAGGCAAAGAAGTAATCAATACGACTGTAGGTGTGGTGAACAGGTGAGTAAAAAGTGTAATCTTTTGTGGTTGGATGCAAAGTTCTCCACAGATCAACGAGCTGTAATTGATGTAGACGGAATTTCATGGAGCTGATGGCAGAGTGGGGCACATGTGTTTTATCTGATGAGGAGTCTAAAGTGGGGTCAAAGACAAAATTGAGGTCCCCTCCCATGATCAGGAAGCCAGACGTAAAGGATTCTAATTTAGTCAGAATGGGGAGGAGTGCCTGTGTTGGTGACGAGTTTGGGAGGTAAATATTCGCCAGGGTGAAAACCTTACCATATAGTGAGCATTTGAGGAAGATGTAACGCCCAAACTCGTCTGCCAGTGTGTCCGTGACCTCTACTGGTAGAGAATTATGAAGACCAATAGCCACTCCTCTGGTTTTGCGATCGGGGTTATTGCTGGTATACCAAGCGCGATAATATTTAGTGGGCATGCGTGGGGCCGCATCGGCTCTAAAACGTGTTTCCTGGAGAAAAAGAATTTGGGAGCGCTGTTTGTGGAGATGGTATAATAGTTGGGATCGTTTGGTTGGGCTGTTAAACCCCTGCACATTCAGGGAACAAAAGGTCAGTGACGCCATAGCATCAATAAGGGGAGGCACGGGCAAAGAGATGGGTATGGCAGCGTTCTCCCAGGCAGGCTCCAGGAAAGGGACGAAAAGAAGAAAGAGAGCAGGGGATGGGGAGATAAGGGCAAGAGAGCCAGGAGGGGGAAGAGAAGGCAGAGAAAGAGATCAGGCAGAAAGGAGAGAAAAAAAATTAAACAATAAAAGTGCTTTTCAACTAACATCAGGGAGAAATCCCTAAACGTGTGCACCGCGAGTCCCAAAATCCAGGGGTGGTCACGGTGAACAAATCCTATGGGGGAAGACAGAGTGGAGTGTCTCCGCCGACCCTCGTCGCGTCGGGGCACACCAAGTCAGTGTGGGTGAGGAAGGGGAACCGATTTACGTTAAACTAATGAGGATCTAACAAGCAGGATAGTCTATCCTAACATAGCAGGGTTCGGCAGTTGCATTTATCAATAACCATTCAAACCATGTGTATGGTAAAACCAGTTGCAACATGCAACAGTGTGTTGACAAAAAAAAACAAAAACACAAGGACATAAAGGGGTTAAAGGGGAAACCTGTGTCCTACGGAGAAGGAACTGTGGATCATCACGGAGTCCATCGGGGGTGCCACCCGTTGAGCAGAGCCGGAGGGGGTCGGGATGTGTGGAGGAATGTTCCACGGCATTCACCAGTCCGATGGTAAGGACTTCAGGGATCATCCAGTAAAGCGGCTGAATCCATCTTCAGAGGGTAAGTAGGTCATCAAGGAGTGCAGTGGGTGACACCCGGCGTGTGGTCTCGTTGGAAGTCGAGGCACGTAGAGGGATGATCCAAATTAAAGGACGGCTCCCGCATAGGAACAGCAGGCCGCAGCCGGAAAGTCTGTGGACGGGAGGTAGAATAAAAGGGCAGACTATGATCCTGAGCATGGCTTTATCTGGTCGCATAGGAGATCCAGTGAAGGAGGGCAGTCACCTGTGGGGAATCAGGCAGGAGAGGAAGAAGGTGTGGGTCTGCGGTCCCCCCGAGGCCTCGGGGCGACCGTCTCCCACTCCAGGGTGGGTGGGGAGAAAGGCTGAAGATGAAGGCCCGGGTCCGGCCATTGGCCCAAGGTGGGGGTCGAGATGCCCATAGCCACACTAAAGTTTTCCACATCTGAGAGTGATCGGAGGGTGTGGAAACGTCCGTTGTGCTTAGCCGAAAGACTAAAAGGGTATCCCCACCGGTAGGATATGTTGGCGTCTTGCAGGAGTTTGGTCAGGGGTCGTAGGGCCCTACGCTTGGCTAGGGTGCGCTTGGAGAGATCCGGGAATAGAGATATTTGGGCGCCATCGAAATCCAGGAATCTGGCGGATTGAGCCTTAGTCAGGATTTCGGATTTCAGGCCAAAAAAGTGTACCCTGCAGAGCACGTCCCGGGGTTGTGGGTTGTTGGGTCTACGAAATCCTGGAGTGCGATGAACTCTATCGATTTCGATGTGATCAGTCACTGGTCTGTTCAAGATAGTATTAAAGATCCCCATGACGGAGGCTAGGAGGTCGGAGTCACCTGTAGCCTCGGGCAGGCCGCGGATCCTGATGTTATTGCGGCGGCTACGATCCTCCAGATCATCAAGGTGGGTATATAGGTCAGCAATATGGGAATGTTGGGCAACGACCACTGAGCGGAGCTCCTCCACAGCAGAGGTAATGGATGGGAGGGTAGATTCCACAACGTCTAAGCGAGAGTGGAAGGATTGCAGGCCCTCGCGGATCTCTTTCATGTCTGCCTTATGAGCAGATTCCAGCCTGGCAAAGAGGGCCTCAATGTCGCTTTTAGTGGGTAACTGCTGGAGGCAGCCCTTGAGAGCCGGGGGAAGCATATCCCCGTCCATGTCCTCATCTATATCTGACCCGGCGGGATCCCTGGGGGAGGATGTGTGGCCTGACTGTGGGGACTCACATGTTGATGAGGACGGAGCTCCACGAGGGGGTCCGGCGGCCATCTTAGATTCCGGCTGCAAGTCCGGTGGCCGCTGGAAGAATGGCAGAATCCTCTGTGTGGCGGCGGATCCCGAGGTCTTCGGTCTCGTGCCGGTTCTGCGGGGAGTGTTGCGGCCCATCAGGTGTCACTTTGGTGAAGCAAATCGGTTCGGGGAAGATGATTAGCGGGTCGGCTGCGGGAGCTCTCAGTAGACGCGTCTACACAGGTCCATCGGCAAGCCACGCCCCTATGTTTTACTTTTTAATCACCTTTTTATTTATTTTTATTTAATTATTATTTCTTCTTATTTTTTTTCACTTACCTTTATTGCTATCACACAGGAGCTAGCTATCAAGCCCCTGTGTGATAGCAATTGGAGGTGACAGGTTCTCTTTATTGACCCTGTCACCTCCAATACAGGAGTTCTAGCACAGCACTGTGCTGGAACCCCTGTGACAGCCTGGTGAGAGAGGAAGAGCACTGCTCTCCCCTCTCACTGTCTACAGTCTACACGGAGCGGCAGGGTTACTTTTCCGGGCGTCGGGGGACTCCACACCGCTGCTGCCCCTCTGCGCCCTGCTGCCCCGAGGCCGGGCCTCTGTGGCCTTGTGGGAAATCCGCCTGATTGGTGTGTCAGCTGGGACTTGTAGTACCCCCAGCACTGCAGGTCTGCGAGTCTCCTGCTACCAACATTTGAACTCATACAAGCGTCTCATGGGTTGAAGATTGTTGACCGAACCAAAGATAGATTTCTCACATCAGTGACCTTCCTTTCCATCCGCTGATGTCACAGAGCAGAGGCGGCTCCCCTTTGGCAACGATGATTCACACAGCAGAAGCCCGTGCTGGCAGACCGCGACGACGCACTCCGCGAAGCACGATCGGAGGGGCGGAGGGGATCATTCCGGCAAGTAATAGCCGTTCCTCCTTCTGTTCCCGTCTCGTGCAGATGGGATGACGCGACCACGGCGACAAAACTCATATGATCTGTGCCCGCTTTTATGGCGCTTTTCTGTCTCATTTACTTGCAGCGGCGTTAGCTGGCTCCATGTCCCTCGCAGTTTGAGCCGCCGTCGTCTGCCATCATCCCAGATTGGAACGCGGAATTACGACTTGGTGAAACGCCGCGATAGAAAGGACACTTTTTACTGCGCAATTTCATAAATGAGCGGCGTGGAAAATGAGAGCGCGGCCTTTAAAGTTCAAGCGCAGTTTTAAAGCTGAACTCCGGGCAGATATAAAAGAGGCAAAGGCAGGGCCGGATTTACTCTCTCTGCTGCCCCAAGGCCAGGTCCTCACGGCGCCCCCCCACTACCTGCCAACCCCCCCATGGAGTATGGCCGACCTGCAGGCTGCATACAAGTGATCTCGGCGGCACCGCCGAGATCACTTGTACAAAATAAGTGACGGCTTCCCCCGCTGTACATTTAGTTCTGCTTGCCCATAGCAGGGCTAAATGTAGAAAACAACTACCCGCCAGGCGCCTGGAACTCCATGTTCCGGGCATCGCGATATAGGAATTCCACACCCCTGCTGCCTCTCTACTCCCTGCTGCCCCAAGGCCGGGCCTCGGTTGGCCTTGTGGGAAATCCGGCCCTGGGCAAAGGAATGCAGCTCTGTAATAAATGCTAGCAGGGTAAGTAACTGAATCTGAGCTCGAATTAGCTTCTTGCAGTCCCTGTACAGCAACGCTCAGACTGGGAAAGGAAGAAGCAGCACAATGAGCCAGTCAGCTGTCCTTTCAATCAATTTTTTTAAAAGCAAGCAATAGAACTACCAATATTTGACCTTGTATCAGCTTCTTGCATTCACTATGCAGCAGAGCTCAGATTGAGAGAGGGGGAAGCAGCACAGGGGGCCAGTCAGTTGCATTGCCGTGCGCATGTGATAACAAGGAACGTGTTGATAGAAGGAGAGTGACAGGGAGACAAACTTCTCCATCTGCTTCTCCTCCTTTTACTGCCCAGACACAGGATAGGGGAGGGACAAGATCTGTAAGGACCCATTCACACCACTGCAGTGCGGTGCACATGTTGGTACACACACATGGCATGCCAGGTACGCTGTCAGTGCACTTGAATTGCAGTGCAATGCCCATTAGGGCGCTAATGCTTCACTGCAAAAAATTCCGCACTCGCAATTTCTGGTCTATTGTGGTGCATGGGCAGTCGATTCAAACGAATAGGCTGCATAACGCAACGCAGGCAGCGTTCTAGTGGCTGCCGGAGGTGGGCGGAGCTGTGAACCCGGCAGCTGAGATTTCCCCCACCAGAGGTTCCCCTGGTATTTTAATGTTACCCCCATATAGATTTCTGTGTGAATGGCTGCCGCCTTACCTATACAGACGATGTCCATGAAGCCGTACATTCCGTAGCAGATCTGGAAGAGCAGGTCCTGCCGCTGCCACTTTGCCGACGGGCTGAACGTTGACCAGATGAGCCACGAGATGCTGGCGATGAGGAACAGGGAGCCCAAGATGGCCGCTGCAATCTGTACTTTCTCTATGACTGTCAAGGAGATGGCTTGCCACTGCAGGGGAAAAAAAATATCATCCTCGTTACTGTTTTATATTTATATGGCGCCAACACATTGCATGGCGCGGTATAACTTCGGGGAATCAATAAATCAT